ATGAGGGAACCATAAATCCTATGGATTTGATGGCTTTCATTTTTCTAGACTTTTAATCTAGAAGGAAGCAACTTCACTTAACAGCCATTTATGGTATAACGGCTTTTGGCCTGACCTTATGCACAGTCCTAGGAATTTAAAGATGAATGAAGACAGTCTCTGCCCTCAAGGAACTCACAATCTAGTAGGAGAGTTCAGATTACTAGAGATTGAACCCAGGGGCATTTAAACATTGAGCCACTTCTCCAGCCCTTTTTATATCTTATTTAGAGACAAAATCTAGTTGAGTTGCTGAGGGCCTTGCTAAATTGCTGAGGCTGGCTTTGAACTCGCAGTCCTCCAGCCTCTGCCTCCCAAGCTGCTGAGATTACAGGCCTGCACCACTGCAGTTAGCTCAAAGAATAATTTTTAAAAAGAGATAAATACTTATAAAAGTGTGTACTCTAGGATAGGGAAGACAACTAATTTTTGTAGGCTATTAAGAATCAGAAAATCGGGCTGGGAATATAGCTCAGTTGGTAGTGTGCTTGTGTTGCATGCACAAATCCCTGAGTTCAATCTCCAGCACCACACATACACCCATACACACACACACACACACACACACACACACACACACACACAAATAATCAGAAAATCACTAGTGTGATGGCCCTTGCCTGTAATCCCAGTGGCTGGGGAGGCTGAGACAAGAGAATCATGAGTTCAAAGCCAGCCTCTGCAATGGCGAGGTGCTAAGCAATTCAGTGAGACCCTGTCTCTATAAATAAAACAAAATAGGGCTGAGATGTAGCTCAGTGGTCAAGTACTTCTGGGTTCAATCCCTGATACCAAAAAAAAAAAAAAAAAAAAGGAAAAAGAAAAACAAGATATCATCCACCCTTTCAAATTATATGGAAGTGTAATTCCCAGTTTTTTGCAGCCTTTGATAATATGAAATAATAAGAAGGTACAAGTCTGTTATTGCCTTTGAGCTCCAGTTCAATTTAAGCCATGTCCTCTTGACCATTTTCTTAGGATGCATTAGTTATTCTTAACAGTCCAAGAGTTTGTGAACATTTCTTTTTATTTGCAAATGTTCCAAAGCTTGGTCTGTTGATACGTGGCCAGTTCAAAATAACTTTTCTATAGATAGCATTTTTAATTTGAACATGTTAATCCCAGACAATGGCATCACACTTAGTTTCTATTTTGCTCTTGTGGAGGATAAGTCTTTTAAGAGCCTCATAGCTCAGCATGAATTTCATGACCCGCATTTCTTAGTAGCTWCTTTGCCTTTAGCATCTTTTCTGCTTGATGAGTTGATAAAAGCGTGTCCTAGTTTCTTCAACCTGTTTTGTAACAATAATTCAATCTGCATTTGTTCTTTCCTTATTGCTTCCTTGAGGTTTAAAATCTATTTAGTATATTCATGATTATTTTTCTGCAGTCTTCAACTCCAGGGAGGATTTTCTTCTCTGTCAGTCTCTAATAGATCCTCCGTAATATCTGAGATGTCTGTTAATTTTCTCTTTTATAAAATCAGAAATTATAGGGCTGGGGCTGTAGCTCAGTGGCAGAGTGCTTGCCTAGCCTGTGTGAGGCACTGGGTTCCATCCTTAGCACCACATTAAAAATAAACAAATAAAATAAAGGCATTCTGTCCATTTACGACTACGAATTTTTTTTTAAATCAGAAATTATAATCTGATAGTGACGTATCAGCATATCCTCTGTCTTGTGGATGTCTTCCCCATTGTTCAGAGTACGATGCTTCATTCTTTATGCCGTAGTTCTTGCCTTTAACATCTCCTGTTCTATTTTTGATCAATTTCATATCACTTGTTTCTTTCCTGGATTGTGGCATTGTCTTCTGTCTTATTTGCTTGGGTGACTACTTGTTTCCGTAAATTTTTTTTTGAAATATGATAATTTAGGAACCCGAAAAGTTGACTTAAACTGTAGGTTGACTTTTTGTTTTATGGACACAATATCTTTATTTATTTATTATTTATTTTTTATGTGGTGCTGATCGACCCCAGTGCCTCACATGTGAGGAGCAAGCTCTCTGCCGCTGAGCTATAACCCCAGCCCCTGAAGGCTGACCTTTTTTTTCTTTCATTCACATTCAACAGTATCACAAAAATATACATGATTTGGGGGCTGGGGTCGTAGCTCAGTGGTTGAGTGCTTGCCTCCATCCTCAGCACCATGTAAAATAAATAAATAAATTAAATAAAGATATTCTGTCCATCTACAACTAAAAAAATTTWAAAAATATATATACAGGATTTGAAGAACTTGTGCACATGTCCATTCTTCTTAAGACTGATGTTGTGTATATTTCACCGAAAAAATGTCCTCTACAGCTGATGTGTTGCCAAAATCAATCATTACATAATCTGTGACCAAAGAGAAATCTAAAAGTAATGGCTTCTTCTGGAAACAACAAACACTATCTGGAAATCATCACATCTGCCTAAAAAATATTCTAAAGATTTTTGTGGGGGCTGGGGATGTGGCTCAAGCGGTAGTGCGCTCGCCTGGCATGCGTGCGGCCCGGGTTCGATCCTCAGYACCACATACCAACAAAGATGTTGTGTCCGCCGAGAACTAAAAATTAAATATTAAATATTCTCTCTCTCTCTCTCTCCTCTCTCACTCTCTCTTTAAAAAAAAAAAGATTTTTGTGCCACTCATGTATTGTTTGTTTTCAGGTTAAAATACATGCCCATTACAGAAAAAAATTAAGAATGTAGAAAAACACAAAGAAGAGAAATGCAGTCAGTAATTGTGCCACCTAAGAAAACCATCTGTTATTTCTGCAAAAGCCTAGTTTTTCTTTTTCTTCTCTCTCTCTCTCTCTCTCTCTCTCTCTCTCTTTTTGGTACCAGAGATTGAGCCACATCCCCAGCCCTGTTTTGTGTTTTATTTAGAGACAGAGTTTCACTGAGTCGCTTAGCACCTCTCTTTTGCTGAAGCTGGCTTTGAACTCATGATCATCCTGTTTCACCCTCTCAAGCCTCTGGGATTATAGGTATGTGCCAGGGCACCCGGGTCCAGATTTTCTTGAAGCCTTAATCTAGCAACCTCTTTACCCCTAAGTCCTTCTCCTCAATAGACTGTTTAGAACATACAAAGTGGAAGGCTAACTTTAAATACATGGGTCTTTAGGATTTTTATGGAAGGGATAGAACTGTAGGAAAAACCTACAAATTGGTCCAGAGATGACATCTTGTTCTTATTTAGCTTTCTTTGAGTCATTAACAGTCGGGCGCCACTGGTGCTGAAACTTATCATTATTATAACCACAAATGGGTTAATGCCCAAACAAAGCTATATTCTTGGGGCTAGTTCCCAGTTTTACCACACAGACCCCAGTAGCAGCACCCTCCATGTCCCAGGATAATGCTCCACAAATAAGAGGATGTCAAATGTTTAGCCTAGTCTTGAAATTCTCTTCTTTTATCTTGGGGGAGCTTCCAGTTGCCAGCAGGACAGAGCAAAAGGAAAAAATAAATAAATAAACATCCAGCCAACAAACCCTAAAAAAAAGAGGCTGTGTGGTTTAGTGGTTAGACCAGTAGCCTGGATATTGGGATTGCTGAGATTCTGTTCTAGCTCTCCCACTGACTGGATGGATGATACTAGACAAGTCACTTTTGTGACTCATGCCTCAGTTTCCCTACTTAGAAAGAGGAGAAGTGCCTTACATTGTTTTCGTGAACACATATGAAATTATCTGCAAATACCTTCAGGCTGTTTGGGAATAAAGTAAAATTATCATCTTTAATAATTACTATCCTATTATTTTATTAATATTACAGTAATGAGCCACAAGTATGAAACTTATGAAACTCCTATACCCTCAAGCTGCATGGGAAGAGTGGTGGATGGAGCAAGGAGAAGGCAAAGTTTTTAAAAACCAGATTTGTAGGACTTTTCATCAAATACCAAATTAGTAAATTCATTACCTCAAAATACTAAACACGGCTCCTAGTTTGGCTTTGTCCCTTTCTCCTTACCACATCCAAATTCGAGAGTGACTCACAGGAGCCTAGAATTGAGACACATATACAATTTTAAGGGAAAGGGAGAATTAGGAGGTTTGAGGCTCCTTGCTGGAGGAGGCTAAGAATAGGACACTCAGAACACAAAGAGAAGAACCTTCTTTTTCCTTCTCCTCCCAGTGTAGGTGGTCTATTGGTTTCCAAGTCCTTTTGATGGCATGATTTTTGTTTGCTTTCTGTCTTTTTCACAAAACCTCATCTTGTTGGAGGGGGTGGGGGGACATTTACTAAAAAAGCAAGGACAGAGTGGCTTTTTTCTGCTGGATTTAAACAGTGAAAATTGCTACAGATCTGTTATTGGGTGTGGAAAGGAGCAGACAGAGAAATATCTGGGAACCTGAAAACTAATGAATACTCTCTCCTCTCAAAGGAGAAGTAAGCAATTGGGCATGTGAAGAAAAAATCTAATACATGTCTTACTTCCTGCACCCTTCACCTTCAAGAAATAAAGTGTCTGGGTAGAAAAAAAGSAAAGACCCTTAGAAAAGGCATGAAATAATAGGGATGATAGTAAAAGGAGGACCCAAAAGAGGATTTGAAAGGAAATGGCAATTGACTTACTGAGTACTTACTGAACACCTTTTGTGTGTCAGCACTGTTGCAGGCTAAAAGACACATCCCTAACTTCAAGAAGTAGCCACGTTACAATATGCACGTGAAAGCACTTTGTAGCAATGTAAGACAGTTCACACTAAGGAGATAAAAATAGGTAATGAGACTGTTTATGGGAGTTCACGAGTGGGAATTATTGAGAGTCACGGTGACAGCTTTATAAACAGGAATAGGTATGAAATTCAGAAATTGCAGATATGGATGGCTGACAGTAATTCTTTGACATCAGGAAATGTGACAGATGCAAAGGACTCTCCATCTCCGATTCTTCTAAAACTAAGTCCGCAAGAACCGTGTCCAACGAAACCTCGGCCCCCCGCGAAGTGACTGCTTGCGGAACTTGCGTGGCGGACTCAGCGTTGCGCCCCGGAGACTGTTGGCGTTACACCTCCTCCGCCTCCCGTTTTACCTCCCGCCACGGGTGCCATGGCAACCGAGAGAGAGTGCAACCTGGGTTCCGGAAGCCAGAGAGCTGGAGCTTGGAAGGTACCCGGGTYAAAGGATGCTGAGTCCCGAGCGCCTAGCCCTACCCGACTACGAGTATCTGGGTAGGCGCTTCCTTCAACTTTGGGGAAGGAAAGTGAAGATGAATTAGGCCAGGGTGTGGGGAGGAGGCGGGGTCTGAGTGGGAACGGGTCCGGGTGGGATGGGAAGGGGCGGGGAAGCCGGGGTTCCAGGGCCTGAGCGTGTAATGTAAGGCCTAACCGGGAGGAAAAACTGCAGCTGGGGAGTAAAGCTTACGGGGTGGATTGTGTTCAAAGAGGGACACGTTGGGGTATTATTGATGTGCTGGTAGTAGAGTAAGTAACCTTGGAACCTGAAGTGTCCTGTCAGTCATTCCATGAATAATCATTTTACCGTTACAGTGGCAGCTAAAGCTATTTTAGCTTTTCTTTTACATTAGGCACTGTGCGAAGTATTTAACGTGCAGTATTCTTTGAAACTTCCCAACAGCACTAGAAGAAATTATGTCTTCTTCCATTTTGCAGATGGTGAAATTAAGGCTGAAGAGGTAACTTGCATAARTAAGACCACACAGCTAGAAACAGTAGTGCTAGGATCAGAACCTRATTTACCTATGACTTAACTCTTGAGCTAAGGTTGTAGTTGCAGTGCAGTGCTTTAGCACACTTAGTGAATAAGCATTTGCTGCATGAAACACACACATACACGTACAGACATATATATGCACAGTCATGCATTTTTTATAGTTAATATCACAGATACTTTTGCATCCAATGCATAACAATATCAGTGTCTAGACTTTTGCTAAGGATTTTGTGTATTTAATCTCATTTACCCAGTACTCAATGAACCTGTGAAATAAAGCCTAGCAGGAGCATATAGTGCCTACTATTTAAATATGTCTCAGAGATAAATAGGCTTAAATTTTAGAAGAGTTTTACACTTCCAGAAAACTGAGCAGATAATAGAGTTCCTTGTTTTACCCACTCCCATTCAGTTTCTTCTATTACTAACATCTTGCATTAGTGTAGTACATTTTTTACAGTTGATAAACTAATATGATACATTATTAGTTCTCTCTTTGTGTTGTAAGTTCCTTGGGTTTTGACAGATTCATAATGTCATGTATTCACACAGAATAGTTTTGTTGCCTTAAAAATGCTCTGTGCTTCATGTGTTCATCCTCTCCCTGTCCCTATCCTTTGGCAACCACTGATCATCTTACTGTCTCTAAAGTTTTGCCTCTTCCAAAATATCGTATTTTTGGAGGACTGCAGTGTATAAACTTTTCAGATGGGCTTCTTTCTCTTACCAACAGGCATTTAAAGCTTCTCTGTGTCTTTTTATGGCTTGACAGATCACTTCTTTGTGTTACTGAATAATATTCCATTGTATGCATGTATCATACACATTTATTAATGAAAACCAATCCTGGATAAGATTTTTGAATTGGTAATATGGAAACTTGATTCAAAAAAATCACAACCAGTTGCTGTGGCATACACCTGTAATCTCAGTTACTCAGGAGGCTGAGGCAAGAGGACCTCAAATTCAAGGCCAACCGAGGCAACTTATTAAGACCTTGTCTCAAGATAAAAAAAATAGGACCAGGGATGAAGCCCAGTCATATAGTGCTCCTGGGTTCAATCTATCCCAATGTTTATAGTAAAAGTCTCYTCTAGCTTTTTTCCTCCAGTCTGCCATGCTCTCAGCCATCCTCAGACACCCGGACTCCTGAAGTAAATACTATTATTGGTTTCCTGTGTATCTTTTTAGCTTTCTAGAGTTTATTAGGTTCATAAAGAAGCATATAGTGCCTACTTTAAAATATGTCTCAGTTATTTTGGTATCAACAGAGAGCTTCCTTGTTCTTTAAAATTTATTTTTAGCTACATAGTATTTGACTAATTTATTTAACCAATTCCTCATTAGTAGATAATGTATTGTTTTTTATCCTTTTATCATTACTAAAAATGCCTCAATGAATAAACCTGCAGTTTTGTTTCTTCATAAGTATGTCTACAAGAATGAATTTCACAAGTGGAGTTGGTAGGTCAAGTGCAATACATTTGAAATATTTATATTGCCAAATTGCCTTTTACAGGGGATTACCATTTTATACTGCCACCAACAGTGTAACATAATACTTGCTTCCTCACAATCTTGCCAGTGAAACAGACAWAACTTTGGGATTTATTTTCAGTCTGTTAAATGACATACTCAGGGGATATTTAATGTGCATTTCTTTTATGAAGTTGAATTTTTTTTTACCAAGTTTAAGTTTTGGTTTTGGAAAGATTCATATACACATATGAATATATACACATAAACACATTGAGAAAGAGGGGTGAAGGGAGAGATAGCYTAAGAGACTGATCACATCTATTTTTTWAAAAAATTTTTAGTTGTTGTTAGACCTTTATTTTTTTTAYTTTTATGTGGTGCTGAGAATCGAATCCAGTGCCTCGCACATGSTAGGCAAGTGTGCTACTGCTGAGTCACAGCCCCAGCCCCTGATCACATCTATTAATCAGCAAAATGGGAATAGTTAATATCACAGATACTTTTGCATCCAGTGCATAACAATATCAGTGTCTAGCTATACTTTGACTTTTGCTAAGGATTTTGTGTGTGTAATCTCATTTACCCAGTACTCAATGAACCTGTGAAATAAAGCCTAGCAGTATACTGTTCAGCTCCTTGGATGTTTGCTCTTTGAGTGACTTGGTGTATTTGATATGCTGGTGCTTTGGTGAGCAGAAGTTGGTGATTTTTTCCTAGGTGGCTTAGGCAGAACACTAAATCAGTGGCAATGTTGATAATGAATCTACAAACAGAATCAGTGTCTTAGGTTGGTTCAAAGTTTCTGTGTTCATGGAGTCCAACCACCTGCCTAATATTGGAATCCTGGACAAATCTCCTTTAGCCTTTAAAAAGGCAGTTAAGTTTCAAGTGTCTTAACTCCCTGTCCTAACTGTCAGGACATCATTGGGCCCTTAGAAGAGTTATGCCGCTGGCTGGCTCCCATGTGGTTCATCAGACCATACAATTCAGCTAAATTGCATTGTTTTTAGTTGAGAACATCCCCTGTCTGTTACAATTTGGTCTCTCTTAGAGGCATACTGTTTTGAAACATTCACCCTCAATTTAATGACCATTTAAAACCACTCCCTAAACCTGAAGGAGGAAGATCTTGAGTTCAAGGTGAGCCTGGGCTACACAGTGAGACCCCATCTCAAAAACACAAAAAACAATATTAAACTAAAAACTCCACTTTCTATAGATTAGATTCTACTTCTTGATTTAAAAATTTAAATGCTTTTGGGTTTTAAAATTTGTCTTTGTTTTGTTTTTACAAATTATAAAGTCTGTTGCATGTGTATAGGGCTTAGGGAAGAAAATACGTAAAGAGCAAAGAAAATTGCAGAGACAGAAAAGCCCTTGGCATTCAGTGAAACAGAAAAGGTAAAGTTGAGTGGCCCTTGGTAAGTGCATCCAGAATCTCTGTTTAGGATTATGTATAAATTACAGGGATACCCATACAATGACTATCTATCTATGGTCTCCCTTTCTTCCTGCTAATCAGGGATTGTACTTGGCTTTTTGACTTAGTGAGGAAAACAGTCTTTCATCATATTGGGTAAACTGATCCTTTCCCCACTGACTTTGTGGATTAGCAACCTGTAACCATGGCCTGAAATGGTTTAGGATTTGAAGATTATCATTAAAGAAGAGCTCAGTAATGTTCATTCCTGCAGTCATCAGAATGGAGGGATAGAAATTGTGTTAATGCCCAGGCCTGATGAGAGAGAGAGGAGTCTGGTAAGGACATAAGTATAGAACCTTTTGTGTAAGATCCATGAAAGAGTTCCAGCCCCATGAAGCTACTTAGTGGAAGCTTCTGCCAGAGGCTGAGGTGTGTCTGTAAATCTGATTGGGTGTGGAGAACTCTCTAGAGCTGAAGGGCAGCCTGTTCTGGCCCTAGGTTTGCAAAATACACTACCTACGTGCTGACCTGAGTATAAGCAAGAGGGTGTGAGATTTATTTTTGACTCCACCTAATCTGGTGAAGTGCACACTTTCACTTACCCTCCCAGCTGGCTTCTCTGTTTCCATGGAACCTGCTCATTCTCATTCAGGTTGGGAGTGGGTTGGCATAACAGGTACCTTGAGGAGACCAGATGGTTCTTCTCCTTTGGGGTCTGTGCAGTTAGAGGAATCACAATAAACGGGTAGGGTTTTTTAAAGCTATAGTTTGTTATTTTTCTACTTTTGTGTTTTTTTCTTTTGGTTTTGTTTGAGCTTTTTAAAATCGTTTCTTTTTTAGATTATTTTCTGTTTTTTAGCTATACTTTTTGCACTCTCTGTATATGACGGGCACTGTGTTTTATTTTGTTTAACCTTTGCAACTACCATATGAAGTAAGTACTATTATTAGCACCATTTAATAATTATTAGTATCACCTTCTCATTTTACAAACAAGGAAACTGAGGTTTGGAAAGACATTTATTTGCACGTGGTCACATAAGCAATGTTAGATTGTAAAGCAGGGATTCAAACCTAGGTTTGTCAGATTCCATAGCCTGTGCTTTTTCATTGCCACCAAAAAGATAAAAACAAACAAATAAAATCAACTATTGACCTAAAGGATGGTGGTCTTTCTTTTTCTGTTAAGGATGGAACTCTTGAATAGTTCACTAGTTTCAAATAAGTTTCCTAAATGAAGAATGGCTTATTCATCATTTTATACTGTTCTTTCACAATATAAATACTTCATACATATATGCTAAATGGAACATGAATAATCTGGCCTTAGGGTACCCAAATGTGAGTAGCTAACAGCAACAAGTAGGACTTATTAAGAACTTACACCAGGTACCATCTTCAGTGCTATATATATTTATACACATGAAGATAGTTTCATTTGTTGTTGCCATTTTCAGATGAAGACACTACAGCACTAAGATACTAAATAGCTAGGTAGTAAGGGATAGAAACAGAATTCTAATCCAGAAGTCTGATTCAAGTTCATGATTAAACTCTGTGCTATAAATACTTTGAGCATCTTCAAAAAATGGGGCG